GCTCTACCGGCATTCGCGTTGCCCTTGCACCCCCTAAGGCCGTGCACGAAAAACGTCTCCACCGAATTGATCGTGCCATCGAAATGCTGCTCGGCGAATACGACGCCCATGTCCGCTGGAATGGAATTACAGCCACAAGCACTTATCACGTATGTGCCGCASAGCTTGGCGAAGTCGTGGTACTTCAGCTGCATCGACTCGATGTACTGCGGCTCCCCGCTGACGTCTACCAGATGAGCACCGCCCGCGAGGCAGCCACGAATCACCGGCTCGCCATAGAGCCGAAACGGTCCCACCGTATTGACAACGATGCGAGCGGACATGGCCATTCGCAGCACTGAATTGTCATCGCTAACATCGGCAATGATGATGGGTATCTGCGATAGGTCCTGCCCGGCCTTGATGCCCATTTCGTCAAGCACCTCCTCCAGCTTTTCGCGATTGCGCCCGGCGATGCCCCAGCGCAGACCTTCGAGCACGGAAACCGCCTCGTATACGGTGTGTTTGCCAGTGAATCCGCTGGCACCAAATATCACGACATCGAGCCGTCCACTGCGCACTTCTTCAGCCATTGAGCAATGGAATGAATTATGAGTGAATGAGTAATATGAGTAGTATGTGTTCTAAACAATGTTGTAGACGAAAATGTGATTGGACTTGTATTGTTGTGTACCCTGTTTTATATGTTTTTCAGGGGCTAATTTACAATTGACAGTGAAGTACATTTCAGAGCTGTGTTGATTCGGTTTACATTCAAGGATTTTTGAGAGCGCAGAGAATAAATTTGTTATAGGCGTAAAAGTTCGAGATCTCCTTTGGTTTTAGTACTAAGTACAACTAGCTTAACAATTTAAAAATATAATTCAATTAAAATTAAATTAAAAAAAAAAGAAATTATATATTAAATCTTAGAACAATTTCCATTTATTGATTAGGTAAGCCTAAAGCAATGGGGTACCGGTCTAATATATATTTAAGGTTATTTTAATTTTTCATATTAAAACAAAAAAATAACAAATATCCTTAATTACCAATAGTGTAAATATCTCAGCAAAATAGCCATAGCTAACCTCTGCTAAAAAATAAATTTATCACAACAGCTTTATATGATTATTAAAAAAAAGATTCAAAGAAAATAAAACTCAATAAAATAAAAATAAATATTGCTATAACAAAACTCTTATCAATAGAGAGAGATATAGCCATTTCAAATGAATAGGAAAATATATATTTAAAGATATTCTTTTTCAGTTTAGGAATCTGGGATATAGACATTTCGAATTTGTTTGATTTTTTTATATTAAGTACGATATCAAAGTAGTACAGAAAAATCTCTACTAATAATAATTACAAAAATCGACTATATTGAATTCT